AACTTGGTTTTACAAATTATTATACCGGCTATGGAGTACGATATGACTACGACATGAAAGGGCGTTGTTTTAAGCGTATTGAGTTTAAAGATAGTGAGCCCATCATGATTATGATGATCCAGGTTAGCTTGTAATAAACATACTATAAAGTTTATAGCATGAATTTAAGTGTGAATTCCGGTGCTGTTGTTGTAATAAACAAATAGTAGTGCATAAATAATCAAAAATATTAATATTACAGTATATACAAGTATTAAAAACATTGTTTTTATAACATTTAATAATTATAAATTATCAATCAATGCGTATTGCTGTTAAAGTTGTTTTTGAAAGTTACTGATAATTTGTATTTATTACGTTATACTTATGTCATTAATTTAGCATATTTAACTTTATTTAATTCATTGATTATGTTTATAATAAATTGATAATAAATTAAATTGATGAAACAATAATTTGCGTCAACCAATAGTATATCAAAACAATTATATCCACGGCTCATACGAATCAACCATTTTGGACAACAATGCGGGACCCAAACGACTCATACATAACCGAAACTATACACCTGGCGGACCTCCAGTTATCCAATGTTTGTATTTTTAAATTGCATACTGTTTTATAGCTGACATACCGGTACCATAATACTGGCTTTGTTTTAAATTTAAATATAACCACTATTAGGGTATGGGTATGTTTGTTATAAAACAAATTTTGAACAGGTATTGGGAAAGGGAGGTTTCGGACTGGTGCGTAAAGGTGTTTGGAGGGGCCGGGAGGTGGTGGTGAAGGAAACCGAGAAATCTAAGGAAAAATATTTTATTAACGAGTGGACAAAGCTGTCGCGTGTGAGCCACCAAAATGTTGTCAGACTATTAGCAACCGATAAAAGTATTTTAATATAAACAGCTTACTAATTTATCTACAAAAATAGTGCTGATTATTTTTACAAGATAACCACGATGATTCATGTTTGTTATAATTATTCAGTGCCTTATAATAATCAGTATAATATAAGTAAGGTAATTTATTTAATAATTTGTAAAACCAAGTTATTTAATTAACTGAATATTTCAAATAAATTAATATAATTAGATTTGTATATGTAAATTTTAAAATATGTTTGAATAATTTTTTTTAATCTTTAAATTGTTTAATAATTAGTTAGCTACCGAATTTATAATACCCTTATGGTTTATAAATTATAAATTAACTTTACATACTAAATTGAAATTAATAAAAAATTTTTTATTTATCATTATGAATTGTCTTATTAATCCAAAGTTGAGTTATAATTTTCATATATCTATTCACTAAAACTTTTAACAATTATTAATTATTTTAACGAAATTATTTAATAATTAGTCTATCGAGTCCCATAATTTTTAAAAATTTTATTTTATTAAATATCATGATAAATACTAGATTACAGTTTAAAGTTCAATTTTGTTTTTGTGAAATTATTTGCCATATTTATAAAATACTAATTTAAAATATAAAATTAACTGAACTAAGCTATTTAAATTAATAATATACAATCCAATACAATTATAAATCCTACTATTATATTTCATGATTCACAATTAACAAAAACATAATTTTCTTATCTTGAACAAAACTCCCAGCCCTACCATTACCCAAGAAACAACAAAAATAACTTAATTTTTTAAAAACATTATAAATTTTTTGGGATTTTCTTTATACCCCGTATTGACGGCTATTATCACTATAAATATGACGACGAGAGACGCGCCTAATATAGAGGTCCATAGGATTGGGTCCATAAATAGGGTCACATCCCATACGAAGGCCATGAATATAACTATATTGAAGCTCCTGGTTATGGGGCCGGCCTTTTCGTATTGGAAAAATCATGGTCTGGAATAACTGGGTCAGTGTACCGGCTCCACCAATCGCCACCAGTAATAGCCAGGTCTTAAAATTTCTGGGTAGACGTAGAGCTATGCAACTCATTAATATACCGGTGACATGGAGTACCACATGACTACGACGGGAACGGCTATTGTCTTACTCCTACGAACCTACGAGTTAAACCTACGAAGTTTAATGAAATGTAGGCCATCATGATTAGGATGATCCAGGTTAGATGTTAATAGACGTAGGTAAATATACAGGTGATTTTAAAATATAAATAGAAATAAATAAATATTCAAAAACATGATTATAAAAATGTTATTTAACAACTAATAACTTCCACACTGTTTTCTAACATTTAAAAATATTTTTAAAAATTATCAATCATAAATCATGCGCAGTGATGATAAAATATTTTTGAAAATACTGATAATAAATTTAAAACATAAATACTATTAAAATATGAAACTTTGATATATAATACTTTATACAGTATCAGGAGTTTCAATAAAAATTGTCTCTTTTTACATTATTATTATCTTTATAAATGTTGTCCATATTTTCTATTAATACTACAACTATCAAGTAAGTTAAACAGTATTATACATATATAATATTTTCTGATAACAAAATTTTATTTAAATTAATTCATTAGTTTATAAACACTAATAAGTAAAATTATGAATACAATTTATAGCAAATTCATTTAAATAGATATTAAATTCTAACTTATAAAATATTAAAATATATAATTATATGGTCACACAATATACATAAAAGCGTGAAAACAAATTTTAATATACTTAATTAACTAACATGTGAGCCCAGAATATGAGATGAGTCTCTGAAAAATTGCTTTTATTTCTTCTTGAAACATTGCTTTTCTGTAAAGTTTGAAATTTATCAAGTTTAATATAAGTAAATTTCAAACTTTACAGAAAAG